GGCGGTGGAAATCGCCAAGCATCCCAGTGTGAATAGAATAGAGGGGGTAGAACTTGCAAACGTGTGGAGAGCGGTCTTAGATCAGCCGAGATGACACGAGGCGGTGTGCAGTTATCAGCGAAATCGCCTGGGTCTAAAAGTACAAAATCCAAGTAGCGTTAGATCCAATTAACCAGCCCACCCCCATCCCCAAACTAATTGTCCCAGCACCCTTGGACGAACACAGGTGAACGAAATCTGTGAACGACCCCAAGAGGAATTTTCCATTAAGGTGTCCTAGACTGAAGAAGCAGGGACGAAAAAATCCGGGTTCATCATAAAGACGAACCCCCCCCAACCGATCTATCGTAAAGCTTAGTCATCGCACTAATCAACAAACAGGGACATCAGACTGAACACCCAGCACTGACCACGTCACTAACCATAGGGAATCTCACGGATTGGTTCCCCGACTGCCTTAAAACCCAATCAACCTACTTACTTACTCACTTGGCCTGACGAAGCTTTTGTGTCAAAAGCGAAACGTTGCCCAGCAATAAATCCACCGATTGTTTACCAAACCCCTCTGAAACGACGTACTGCTGTTGGTTCATGCGGTTCTCGCATGCCAGAGTCGTTTCAAGCACACAGACATTCAGTGAATTTGTATGTTCATCGAATTGACCCTGTGATTATTTGCATGGATTATACACCTGGAGTGATATTACACCCGCTCTGTCGCAAATTTTTCATGGCTGTGAACAGCGCTTATTTATTCGCCGCATGCATTAAGCATTCATTCAGGCGGATCAAAACTGCGTGCCAATTCAAACGGGCTCACGCCTAATTGCTCGTCACCTGATGTGCTGAATTTCACACTACGCACCGCTTGCCTTGTATCGGAAACCCTGTCCTCATTCTCTCCTTTGGTTCTCGTTTAAAAGTCGTGACAATGATGTCTGGACATGCTTCATCAAACCACAAATCTCATGCGCAGCGTCTCACCGTCCGCCAGACCGGTGTGTGTTGTGATTCGCTCGTAGAATGTATTATACTCGTCTTCTTCCCCCGGAGTTGTTTTGTTTGACGCATCAGACTCTTGTTTGTCTCCACGCCTGCAGGAACGTCGCGCACTCAGTTGGACTGATGGTGTGTGCGTGTGCGTTGACCGATGGTGGGTGGG